GTTGCTGGGATGGGTTGTTTGTGGCACTTACTACAGCCACCAGGGCGAGTCGGTAATCAGTGCAGGGCAGGTTCCAGAAGGCTGTGCCTGTGCTGTTTGGTGGTGTGATGCTAAGCCCACGATGCAGGTAGGGAGGTTGGAGGGGAGAGATAGTGATGTGTGGAGCTAAGATGGGTATGGGAGAGAGGAGAGAGGAGCAGGAGCCAAAAACATACAAATAAAAGAGTGCTAAGGGAGCTTGCCATTGGAGTGGAAAGATGTGAGACTATGAAATGGAGAAAAACAAAAAGGGGAAGAAGAAAAAAAGAAAAGAATTAATAAATAAAAATTAGAAAGAAAAAATAACAGCAAAGCTCCCAGGGATCCCACCGGTGCAGCTACGATGTCTGGTGAAGTTGTTCCCAGGTGTTGAAGTACAGCCTGGCTACGAGGTGTAGAGGTATTCAGTGCCAGGTATCCAGGAGACAGGAAGAGAAGGAAGGTATAGAGAGACGAGAAACTGAGTAATGAAGAAAGACAAAAGGGGAAAAGAGGAAAAAGAAAACAAAAGAAATTAAAAACAAAAAAAAGAACAGGAAAACCCCCCAAAAAACAGAAAGAAAAAAAAAACACAAAGAAATACCCTCGGGGATCTCTCTGCGCTTCTGCACAAGCTGAGGGGGTAGGTCCCAAGCCACGCAGCACCGCCCGGCCAGAATGGGCTCCCAACTTGAGAAAATAAAAAGAAAACAAAGAAACAATTGAAAACAAACAAACAAAAGCCCCAGGATCCCACCAGTGTGGCAGCACAGACCAGGAAGCAGTTCCACACTCTAATGGAGCTCCACAGCACCTCAGGAAGAAGCAAAGATGGCACATGGAGCCAGGTATTTGAGCAAAAGAAGGGGGAGGTGGTGAGAGGTAAGGAAGAAATCAAAAGAAGTGGAAAAAAGCCACATAAGCAGCCAACAAATGGCACTCAGGGAGTCGGCCAGGGTGGGCAGGTGGAATCCAAGCAGCCGGTGCTTCCCAGCCAAGAGACTGTGGCTTCGGAAAGCAGAGGAGGCCGAGTGGGGGTGAAGAAGGGTGGGGGGTGGGAAAGCGTATATCGCTGTTTACCGGTTGCTCTGTCTCCTGCTAGAAGCTCCGTGAAGCTGCTTTCTCGTACCCCCTATTTGCTGGTCTCTGATAGGAGTCCAAGATGGTGGATCCGTGCTGCATTAGCTGATAGGGGACCTCTCCATGTATGTCTCCTTGCTCTCTGTTCTCTGTCAGTTTCTTATTCCATTTAATGCTTGGCTGAGTTCTTTATCTCTTCCTATGATGTTTAGGATTTCAGGAATGATGTTTTCTCTGTTTGGCTTAGTTTTTCGGATCTTTGCTGTGGAGGGACGGCATGGTGCTTCTGCCTAGAGCGCCAGGTTGCCGGAAGTCTCTCATTTTCTTTTTGTTCAAAATATTCCTATATTCCTTATTTTATCTGTTATGTAGCCTCTTACCACAATTCAGAAGGGTAAGGTCTTTAGTAGATATTCATTATATATCTAAAATGATTATTACTCTGAAGCCAAAAAATTAGGATGAACTGATGATTAATAGCATTGCATTAACTAAAAGAACTACATAATTTTGAAAACCTTCACCATCATGGCTATTAAAACATAATCTAATCAGGAACAATAAACCATTGGTATGTGATATTAGTTTTGAAAGATATTATAAAATATAAGCAATATATGGGTGAATGGGGTACAGTTTGGTGCCCTCCCTCCACAAACACAATACAATATGGAAAATAAGACTACCCTTACAGAGTAGTATTGATGAAATTAACACATAATTGGAAGAGACTATATATGTCCCATGACCTCTGTACCATCTATTTTATTGTTTTTTTATTTCTGGACTCTCAATTCTATTCCATTAATCTATGTGTCTATTATTACATCAGTACCAGGCTATTTTAATTACTGTAGCTGTAAAATATGTTTTGAGATGAGAAAGTGTACTTCTATTTGTTCTTCTCCTTCAAAATTTCTTTAAATATTTGGGGCCTCTTGACATTCCATATAAAGATAAGGACTGTTTTGCCATTTCTGTAAAGAAGGCTGTCAGAAATTTGATCAAGTGTTTTATTGAAGTTTAATCAATGTTAATGCAGCTACAGCTTAAGAATGAATGCATGATAGGAAGTTTATCAAGAGATATACAGCCATGAGGACCATGGTATCGGGGAACATCTAGCTCAATTGGCATAACACAGTTTATAAAGATAATGTTCTACATTCTACCTTGGTGAGTAGCATCTGAGGTCTTAAAAGCCTGTAAGCAGCCATCTAAGATACTCCACTGGCCTCACCCCTTCAGGAGCAAGGGAGAATGAAGAAAACTAAAGACACATGGGTAAGTTAAGTCCAAAGGACTAATGGACCGCAACTACCACAGCCTCCACCAGACTGAGTCCAGTACAACTAGATGGTACCTGGCTACCACCACTGACTGCTCTGACAGGGATCACAACAGAGAGTCCCAGACAGAGCTGGAGAAAAATGTAGAACAAAATTGTAACTCACAAAAAAGACCAGACTTACTGGCCTCACAGAGACTGGAGAAACCCTAAGAGTATGCCCCCCAGACACACTTTTAGCTCAATAATGAAGTCACTCCGGAGGTTTACCCCTCATCCAAAGATTAGACAGGCCCATAAAACAAGACGAGACTAAAGCAGCACACCAGCCCAGGGGCAAAGACTAGAAGGCAGGAAGGGACAGGGAGGCTGGTAATAGGGAACCTAAGATTAAGAAAGGAGAGTGTTGACGTGTTATGGGGTTGTTAACCAATGTCATAAAACAGTATGTGTACTAACTGTTTAATGAGAAGCTAGTTTGTTCTGTAAACCTTATCTAAAGTACAATTAAAAAAAAAAAAAGAGAGAGAGATATAGCCCTTCCACAGGCCAAATCCAGCCTAACACCTGTTTTTGTAAATAAAGTTTTATTGGAACACAGCCATGCCCATACATTTACATATTATCTATGACGACTTTCTTGATGTTATATTGGAATTTAGTAGTTTCAACAGAGACACTATTCCCTGCAAAGTTGAAAATAGTTACTCTCTAGTCCTTTACAGAAACTGTTTGCTGACCTCTGGCTTAGAATAAAGTTTTTCTCTTTAAAAAAAAAAAAAAGGACTGATTTTGGCTCTATGCAGAAACATTAAATGCTCCCTTAAGCTATCATGTATCTACAAGGACCACACGTTCGTGACAACATACAGAGAAGAAAGCAAGTTAATGTGAGCTATTAACAAGATTGAATTGTTAATAATTAAACACAAAGTATATTTAATACAATCCAATATAAAAACATAATTTACACAATTTATATCTAATACTGGTAGAGCAGGGTTATTTAAACAAGGATGCATGAGTAAATGGAGCCTTTTGTACAGAAAGAAAACATTCAAAAGTTCAGAGTTATTACTTAGCACCAGCAGTTCATTATATCTATTTTACTCTAAATGATAAACTTGTCTCCAAACTGACAATTAAGTGTTCCCTGGTGGATAAGTGGTTAAGAGCTTGGCTGCTAAGCAAAAGGTCAGTGGTTTAAATCCATCAGCCACTCCTTGGAAATCCTGTGGGGCAGTTCTACTCTGTCCTATAGGGTCACCATGAGTCAGAATCAACTCCAGGGCAATTTTTTTGTGGGGTGGTGCAAACAGTTAACACAATTGGCTACTGAAAAGTTGGTGGTGTGTAAGAAAAGCCTAGTGACCTACTTCCGAAAAATCAGCCAGTTCTACTCTGATACATATAGGGTCACCATGAGTGGACAATGACTCGATGGCACTTGGAATTTTGCAATTAATTTACGCTATTGTTAGAAAATATTACTTACTTTTTCTATAATTTCTTGAGCTTTTCCACTAAGCACAGCATCTGGTTTGATAATAGCAATAGTGTATTGTTCATCTAGGAAAAAACAGAAGAATTTCATTTTCTTGATACAAAGTTTGAATAATGAAAGGTTTGACAATTGGAATTGTAAATCCCTAACGTCCAGTGAATTTTTTTTCCACTGATAGTTTTGTATCTTATTATGGCAGTTCAGCTACCAAAGTGTAGTTCTTCTATTTGTGTACAGGGCAAAAATTTACATGAGGTTTTAGTCAATCAGTAAAAAGATGAGTAAGTAGACGCTGGTGAGTTTTCATTTGGATTTTAATTCAAAGCATTAGATTCACAACCATGATCCATCCAGTTCAGTATCTGTATGAGTGAAGTTTCAACTTCCATTATGCAAGGAGAGATTACAAACTGATCTCAGGGGACATCTAGGTCAATTGGCATAACATAGCTCATAAAGAAAATATTCTACACCCTACTTTGGCGAGTAGCATCTAGGGTCTTAAAAGCTTGCGAGTGGCCATCTAAAATACATCTATTGGTCCCATCATGTTCAGAGCAAAGGAAAATGAAGAAAACTAAAGACACAAGGGAAATATCGGTCCAAAGCACTAATGGATCACATGAACCATAGTCTCCACCAGCCTGAGCCCAGAAGAGCTAGATGGTGCCCAGCTACCACCACTGATCACTCTGACAGGGATCACAATAGAGGGTTCTGGACAGAGGGGGAGAAAAATGTAGGACAAAATTCCGATTCACTAAAACTGACTAGGCTTACTGGTCTGACAGAGATTGGTGGAATCCCCGAGACTACGGCCCCTGGATGGACACCCTGCTGACTCAGAACTGAAGTTACTCCCGAAGTCTACCTTTCAGCTAAAGATTAGATAGGTCTATAAAACAAACAATAACACGTGAGGGACGTGCTTCTTAGTTCAATCAAGTATGTGAGATCAAATGGGCAACACCTGCCCGAAAGCAAAGAAGAGAAGGCAGGAAGGGACAGGAAACCTCGACAAATGGTCACAGGGATCCCAGGGTTTAAAGGGAAAGGTGGAGAGTGCTGACATATTGCTGGGATTGCAATCAATGTCACAAAACAATTTGTGTAGAAATTTTTGAATGAGAAACTAATTTGTGCAGTAAACTTTTGACTAAAACAATAAAATTAGAAAAAAATTAAAAGATTACAAACTGATGGACTTACCACCTACAAATTTATCTGCATTCTTATGATGAATTTTTAGTTCAAGATAGCTTACTGAGCATGCCTGTTTGCCTCTCCTCCCTCATAGAATAAACACACACTCATACACACACACAATCACAGTGAAGGTATAAAATTGTTAACTGCAGAATAAACAGCATGAGTCATCATGGAAGAAATTATTTTAACAAATTTTTGGAAGGTAACAAAGGATGAAATAAGAACTGCTATCCAGACTAGTCTTAAGAGTCTAATCTGACCATTATTTATCTGACCAGTTCCCTATTGATTCACATCGATGTTGTTACCAGCTTTTTGCAGTTTCAAAAAAACTACACAGTAATGAACATCCATGAACATTAAATTCTTGCCATTATTTTAAAGTAAATTTATTTACCAGCATTTTCATCTTGTCCTTCCCCAGCATCTTCTGTATCTGAGTCTGCAAACATAATTTCATGGTACTATGAAAGAGAAATGCAAGTAAAACACTGTTATGTTCTAATATGATGGTGAAAGAACTTTTAGAAATTTTGTTTCTAGTAAATATGTATACTCCAGGAGATGAAGGTAAAGTGAAAATGTGCCTGTATTTACCCAGCAATATTTTTTCCTCAGCTTTCCACTGAAATAGAAGAAAGAATATTTAAAAGTGGCAGAGGGAGGCTATCAGAAATAATGCATTTGTGCTGTATGGAAAAATCTTTAAAAAAATCATAACATAAACTTAAAACTTAGGAAGGGCACAAAGAAAAAATAAGAGAAGCAGAAATGAATAAATAAGAAAGCAGTAAACACATGATTTGGAAGAAAGTTCTGGCGATTTACTTCCCAAAATCAGCCATTGAAGACGCTGTGCAGCTTAGTTCTACTCTGACATACATGGGTCACCATGAGCTGGAGTTGACTTGAGGGCAACTGATTTGGTTTTTGAAACACATCATGATCATGTTAAAGTTCAAAAGGGTATTTACTAAATTTCAAGATCCATTCCTGACAATAACTCTTGTAGATGAGGAACAGAAAATACCTCCTACAGAAAATATTTTTCTCAAACCAATAGCCAATATCCTACTAAAAAGTAAAACATTAGGAAAGACAGGGGTTCTTAACTTCCAGGGAAGCCCTGAATGTGCGGCTGTGGTGCTGTGAACTACTCAAGAAGTTTCTTACGTACATTTCTTTTTTTGTAAGAAAATGCACAAATTCAGATTCTCAGTGGAATTAAGACTCCCCCCACCAAAAGTTGGAAATCACTACCCTAAAAGCATTCATTCATATTATAATCAGGAATAAGATAATTGTGCTAGGTATAATCTCAAATGAACCTTACTTTTCCTTTGCTGGACCTGTGTTGCCAATAGGTCAGTAACTGATCACATAAGGCTGCCTGGGCTCCTAAAATGAGCTTAGTCCGAATTAAGATGCGCTACCAGTGTAGAACACACAGCAAATTTTAAAGATGTAGTATAAAAAATGCAAATATCTTAATTTTTATATTGAGCACATCTTTAAATATTTTGAGTATATTGGATTAAGTCATATATACATCTTTAATGACATGGATGGAGTCAAGCTCTCAGGACCTTCATCTGCTAATGTGGCACAACTCAAAATGAGAAGAAACAGCTGCAAACATCCATTAATAATCGGAACCTGGAATGATCCACAATCAACACCCATGGAAGCAGCAGTCAGGAAATCAAAAGACACATTGCACTGGGCAAATCTGCTGCAAAAGACCTCTTTAAAGTGTTAAAAAAACAAAGATGTCACCTTGAAGACTAAGGTGCGTCTGACTTAAGCCATGGTGTTTTCAATCGCCTCCTATGCACACAAAAGCTGGATGATGAGTAAAGAAGATCATAGAAGGATTGATGCCTCTGAATTGTGGTGTTGGCAAAGAATATTCAATATACCACGGACTGCCAAAAGAAGGAACAGATCTGTCTTGGAAAAAGTACAACCAGAATGCTCCTTAGAGACAAGGATGGTGAGACTGTGTCTCACATACTTTGGACGTATTACCAGGTAGGATCAGTCCCTGGAGAAGGACACCATGCTTGGTAAAGTAGACGGTCAGCGAAAAAGAGGAAGACCCTCAACGAGATGGATTGACACAGTGGCTGCAACAATGGGCTCAAGTATAACAACAATTGTGAGGATGGCTCAGGATCAGGGAGTGTTTCGTTGTGTTGTACATAGGGTCGCTATGAGTCGGAACCGACTCGACGGCACCTAACAACAACAGCATATCTTTAAACATAATTTCACCTGTTTCTTTTTACTGTTTTTAGTATGACTTCTAGGGAATTTTAAATTATGTGAAATATTCTGATGTGGCTTGCATTCTATTGCTATTGAACAGGGCTGTACTAGTCAATGCAATTAAACAATAAAGCTGCATAATGGGAAGTATTCAACAAAATAGAATAATCAATATCAACAAATTTCTCATATACACACAGTTATTAATTAAAATAGGATATCATTCTGCAAGAAGAGCAAGAACAATAAGAACAACAGCAAAACCATACAACACATTACATATGAAGAAAGCTCAACAGAACTGGTCAATCAAGTGAGAGCTGTTTGAGATCCGTCCCGCCTGACTTCAAATTCTGGTTTCACTATCAGTTGCTTCTGTCTGGACATAAGACTTAAGTTTCTTAGAGCCTTGATTTTATCATTTGTAAATATCCCATAAGATGGCTACGAGAATTAAGTGAGGAAATCTATTTGAAGATCTTAGCAAGTCCTCCATAATTCAATTATAATATATTATAATTTATAAAAGAAGCAAGGACGTGGGGGAAGATAGAGAGAGGATTCACTGAAAAACAAGAAAACTTGAAAAAGCAAAAAACCAAAAAAGTTCTTGGATGAGGAAAATTATTATAATAAATGTAAATTTCCCTTTATGTCATTTGTCACTTTCCCATTGAAATGTTCATCTTTTTCTTAATGCTCATAAATTACTTTGTACAGATTATGGGTATTAGCACATTGACACATATAGTACAACCATTTTTCTCAGTTTGTTGCTTTCCTTGAAAGTTTTAAATAATCAAATAATCAAACGTATCGATTCTTCCTTATTGATTTCTCTATTTTGTGACAGAGTTAGAAGACCTTCCTCAACCTGTGGCAATGTAAATGTTCACCAATATTTTCTTCAAATACTTTTATGGTTTGTTTCTTTATATTCAATTCTTTAATTCATCTGGAATTTTTTTATGTATGTAATATGAGAAAATGATACATCTTTTTTTTCTACACCCATTATTTGTTAATATAGTTAACCCAGTATTTGTAACCCTGCTTTATTGAACTTTTCATCCTTTCCAGATTTGAAGAGACACATTTTCTTATAATAAATACTTACACATGCTTGAGCCTATACCTTCTCCCTATACTACTTTGCAGTATTTCTTGATGAAGCTCCACTTTTTCTTTCTTAATGTCATACTTTCCCTTGTTTTGCTTTTTTAATAACAGTCTCTCCTGTTTCTCTGACTCTATTTCTGATCAGTTTTTTATGTGGCTTAATTTCTGATGCTATTATGTTCATATTGCCATGTGCTTTGTGGTTCATTTCTTCATTTTAAAATGTTTTATTTCTTGTTACACAGGTTATAATAACATTACACAGGTAACGTATTTAACACATACACACATACACATACAGTATCTTACCATAAGTCTCCTTTTCAAGCGTACTCTCCTTTCATTCATCAATCTGTCCTGCCCCCATTCCATGCCTATAAATACAGAACTAGAACACACTGGATAATACCCCACTGTATGGATTTGCATAATTTATAACATAAATTTCATACATTTTATGTAATTAATTCCCTGTTGCTAGGCATTTAGCTGATTGCAAATATTTAATAATATAGACAACACTGCAGTCAACACCCCTTTCTATATTTGTGTCATTGTCTTCTTAGGGAAAATTATTGGGGCATAATTGCTGAGGCAAAGGGTATACAAGTATTTTAATACTTCTGATTCATACTGTCAACCTGCTTCCCAGAAAGGCTTCACCTAGACACCTAGATAGCTATAAAATCAGGAAAAATGTAACACATTTTTAAAATTTAAATCATCCTTAATTAAAAGTATTACCTGAGGGCGAACCATTTCACCTGTTGCAATTTTCCTTTCCTCGTTGATGAGCTGAATAACTTTTTCATTAACAAGTGGTGCGTTTGCACCCTTAACCTTTGAAATAATTTTGCCATCCTACAAAGGAAAATAAAACATGAAAGGAACTTTCATTTTCAAGAAATTCAATAATTAACCCTTAAAATGGGCTACGTCCCCCTTCCCCGTCCCCCTCCCCCATCCTCTTTCAGCTACTGTCATTAGTTGAGCAAACTGTTACGCACTGACTACGAAATGAAACGTTGCTGGTTCGAACCCACCCAGGGGCTCCTCAGAAGATAAGCCTGTGATCTGCTTCTGAATGGTCACAGCCTGGAAAACCCTATGGAGCAGTTTTACTCTGCACACATGGGGTCGCCATGATCAGAACAGACTCGGCAAGTAACAACAACAATGAGAAAGTAAGGGGTCCCTGGGTGGGGTAAATGGTTAAGCACTGACTACTAACACGAAGGTAGGCAGTTCAAACCCACCCAAAGGCACCTCGGAATACAGACCTGGCGATCTGCTTTCAAAAGATCACAGCCTTGAAAACCCTATGGGGCAGTTCAACTCTGCACACATGGGGCCAACATGAATTGGAATTGATTTGACAGCAACTAACAATGGTATGAAAGTATGTCTCCATTTGGTAAACCCAGTTCTTCGAGTTCTACCTTCAATTTGTCTGATCACCTGCAACCAAAGATGAGGTAGCATTCTCCAGCACATCAAAGGAGTCATCACCCTACAAAAACGCTTAGAGCAATCTCTCGTGAGGCATCCCTGCATTAAATTTGAACAATTCTCTACAGGCCACTCAACGTTCCCCTCCTGATTATTTTGGCACCATGCCCCTTTCATCCATCTTTCAACACGTATTTACTGAGCACCTAGTTACTGGGCACTGTATCAGGCATGATGGTATGGAATAACAGGCCTAGTGCATGACCTAATTAAATGACCAAAACAACATAAACACACGTGAAATAGCAACCATGACAGGTGCCGTCATGAGAGATACAAAATGATGGGTGAATCTACAAGAATTTGTCCTTGTCAAGGAGGGCAGGGAAGGTACATTAAATATCAGGAAGTTATTCCTGGGTTAAAATATGGATTGGTAAGAGATAACTAGGTCAAAAGGAAAAGGAAGAGCATTCTTCGTAAAGTGAACAGCAGATGCAAGGTCCTACGCTGGAACGGAATATGGCAAGTGAGAAGGCCAGCAGAGACAGTGAGGGCGAGACTGGTATGAGCTGAAGTCCCACAGCCGGGGGTAGACAGACAGGAAGAGACCTGTGGGCATGAAAGGATGCAGCCTTCATCCTTAGTGCAGTCAGAAGCGTTTAGAGTGTTTAAACAGAGGCAGAATTGTTGTTCATAAAGATCACTTCATCTACAGCGTGGAGAAAAGATTAGAGGGGGGTAAGAGAGGGTGTTAGTACAACAGTTAGAAATTATTCTAGATATGAAGATGAGAGACAATGGTGGCTCAGTCTACGGCAGTGGTAATGGTGGTGGAGATGGAAAAAGTAGATGGGCGTAAGAGAGATTTGGGCAGTGAGACTGACAGGTCCAAGGGGTGGTTTGGATTGGGTAGGATGTGAAAAATAGTAACTAGGATGACTCTTCTGTTTTTGGCTTGAGAACTGGATAAATTATGATATTATTTGCCAAATGAGGAGACACTGGAAGAAGACAACATTTTATAGGGTCGGGGAAGAGGTCTGGTATTGGACCAGTTCATTTTGAGATGTCTTTGTCACCAGTTGGATAAACCTATCTTGAGCCCAAAGTAAAGGATTCAGCTGAAGATGAAAAACTTGAATTACTAATGTACATGTGGGGACAACTGAAATTATATGTGGAGGAAATTACCTTTCAAAAACATATAGCATGATAAGGTCAATCTTTAACGGCTGGATAAAGAAGGGTGAACCTGAAAAAGATACAGAGGGGAGTAACATCCAGGAGAAGTCCCTGGGTGGTATAAATGGTTAATGTGCTTGGTTGCTAACTGAAAGGTTGAAGGTTCGAGTCCATCCAGAGGCACTTCGGTAGGAAGGCCTGGCAATATACTTGCTTAAAGATTACAGCCATTGAAAACCCTATGGAGCACAGTTCTACTCTAATACAAATAGGGTCTCCATGAGTCAAAATTGACTTGACAGCAACTGATTAAAACCAAGTCACAAAAGTCTAAGGAGGTGAATGTTTTAAAAAGGAGGGCATGGACATCATATTCAATACCTTTGAGAAGTACAGAATGTCCATTATATTTAGCAACAAGCTGGTAATTGGATACATTAGTGACAAAAATTTTAGTGGAATAATCGGACGGAAGTCAGATTGAATGGGTTGAGAAGTCAATGAAAGGGGAAAAATGTAGTAAAAACAAATATGAAAACTTCCGAGAAATTTATGGAACCCTGGTGGTGCAGTGGTTAAGAGTTTGGCTGCTAACCAAAAGGACGGCAGTTCGAATCCGCCAGCTGCTCCTCGGAAACCTTATGGGGTAGTTCTACTCTGTCCTATAGGGTCACTATGAGTTGGAATGGACTAGATGGCAACAGGGTTCTGAGATATTTAGCTGTGATTTGAAACAGAAAAATTGGGAGGTGGCTCAAGAGGGTCATTGGAAATTGGAAGAAAAGTTTATTGTCAGTAAGGAGGTCAAGAATTGACCTGATATTGTATGGGTTGCCTATGTGGATATTAAAGTCTCCAGGGTGATGGCAAGACTTGAGTTTGAAAGGAAGACTTTGAACCAGGTGCCAAAGTCTTCAGTCATTGAAAGAACTGGTTAGAAAGTTGGTAAATGACAGTAGTGAGATGGTGGAAGAGGAGGTTTACACAAATAGAATGGACCTCTAATAAGAAGGGAGGAGAAAATTATTGAAGAAGTAAGAGGAAGTCAGGGGAATACCAATCCCACTCCTGACCCTGAGAAACAAGGTCTGAGAAAGTGGTCACCACTTCTGGGCTGCAGAGAAATTGTCCTTGGGAAGGAGCTAGATTTAAGGTAAGTCAGGGAGATGGAGCAAAAGCTCAGAGGAGTGGCTAAAGATCTTGGGAAGTTTGAGGATTGCCTGCATCAATTCCAGATGTCACAACGTGAAAGGGTTTGGAACACAGGAGGAGTGGAGAATGGGGTCATGAAAAGAAAATTCTGAGTGTCAGAAGGATAGATGGTACATGGCTGGGGGAAAGGTTGGGGCTTATATTTTGGGCAATAATTTGGAGAAATGAGAGAACTTGGACTGGATGGTCCATTTAAGAAGCGCAGTCATGGGTCTCCTGGTCAGATCTGACTAACATGGTGAGGTGAGGGCTGTCCCAGAGCTCCAGACTCCACATGCTTGGTCTGCCTCAGTCCCCTGCTCCTAACTGCTACCTGCTGCTAGGCTTTCCTAATTGTTCCATCAGCTCCTCCTCCCTTTCCCAAGCTTATTTCTACCTCCAGGCACTTACACATTCTGATTTCCTAAACCACTGTATGTAGGCCAGGGGTCAGCAAACTGTGGCCCCAGGGCCAAACTGGACCTGCACATCCCAGAGCTAAGAATGATTTTTCACGTTTCTAAAAGGTTGTTAAAAAAAAGTAAAACTACATGACAGAGACTGTATTTCTGTAAATCCAAAACTATTTCCTATCTGGCCCTTTACAGACAAGTTTTCTAATTTAGTTTGCTAATCTAAATAATCAAATCCTACATATCCAACTACGAGCAAGATCTACAGCATCGACTTTTTACTCCATTGACCCAGAAATTCAATTCTCTGAAATAATCGCAAGAGTACTGCTTAACAAAAACAAAAGGTTATATCCAGGAAAATTTTTAAAATAATTATTCCTAATAGCAAAAAATGACAAATAATTGAAGTACCCAACAGTAGAAGAACAATTACAATCTTACATCCTTGGTGAAGACTTTCCTTACGATCACAAATCTCAAACTTTGGAGCAGCTACAGCCTGTGTCACACAATTTAGCACTTAACTGAATACTCTCTTTTTAGAAAGCAGCACCTATGATGTTTTCTGATGATTAAAGTTATGTGTTCATCACAGAATATTTGGAAGATAAACTATAAAAAAAAAAACCTAAATTATGCCCTCTTTCACCATACATAAAACCAATTGCTGTTGAGTTGATTCTGACTCATGGAAACCCTGTATGTTGCTGAGTAGAACTGTGCCCCACGGGGTTTTCATGGCTGTGACCTTTTGGAAGCAGACTGACAGGCCTTTCTTCCCAGGTGCCTCTGGGTGGATTCAAACTGCCAACCTTTCCATTAGTAGCCTAACACTTAATCATTTGTGCCACAATATATAGTAAGCTACTACTAACATTTTGGTGAATCCACATTCTATCTTCTTTCTATGCATTTGTAAATACAGAGATAAAAGCAATATATATAACCAAATTGTGATCATACTACAACTATTTGCATCCTGTTTTTTACTAAACATTACATCATGGCAGCTCATGGAGGTCATTAAATATTCTTCTCTGACGTGATTTTTAATGGTGCAGAATATTTTCTTCTATGGGTATACATGAATATTTATAACCAATTCTCTTCTGCTGGGTCTTTCAACAAAATTTCCAATCTTACACACTTGTAAATAATAACTCATGGTACAAAGTTCTCATTATTTCCTTAGGAAAGATAAATACGATCTTATTTTCCTTTTCTCTGATCAACTCAGTGTGTAGTAGACTAATCTCCTCCATCCACTATGAGCTCCTGGAGGTCAAGTTATAAAATATATTAATAGATAAGCAAAGATAAGACAAAAAAATGTATAATTACTTTTATCAGCAAATAGTTCCATGGTAATTTTATAATGCTGCTTGTCCTTTTACCGTACACTGAAATCTGATAACACAATTGAGAGGATAAATATTGTACTTACAAGACTAAAGAGAAAAACAGGTTCACATTTATCTCTAAATGGCTGCAAAGTCACAACGCTGTCAGCTTCTGCCTGAAACAAAAGCAAACATTTCATATAATAAAGAAAACTACACCTTCTCCTCACTTATCAACATGGTTAGGTTACAAAGACCAGGTCGTTATGTGAAATCAGTGTTATGCAAAAATGGAGGATGATCACATCAGATCACAAAATGGAGGATGACTACATCATTACATAACTGCCAGATCATATCACATAATTGTCAAACCACTGAGAATCATGTCCCAGCCAAGTTGTGCATAACCTTAATCATCACACCAGCGTTTACTCTTGCCTCACATCTCAGCGTTCATTACTGCCAGTTTGTTACTGCCAGATGTACCTTGTTAATGTACAAATTAGTCAGATAATAGATTTTTCACTATTGTCATAAATGCAAAATGTTGGATAAAGAGATAGCCAATAAGTGTGGAGAAGGTGTGTATCCAAGTCATTCAATAGAAAAATGCAGCGATGCATACAATTTTTATTTTATGTTTACTGCCACATTTTCTGAGTATGGTAGAGTGGTTATCATGATCAAATTGCTTATCCTGGCAACTCACTCCTTCACCATTTGGCCCCAACCTCACCTCTCCCTGCCCCACATTATGGAACCCAACCTTCAGTCAAACTCATTTCTTCATCCTTGTTCTTCTCTATACATCACTCTATATACCTTCCTCATTCCCTGTGCTCCCACTGCTTCTGGACCTGGGAGGCCTACCCTTGCTTTTCCAGCCCAGTTCCAGTGACCCTCCTCCATGAAGTCTGTCTTGTTCTCTCCTGCTGAAAATCATCTCTCCCTCCACATAGTTCTGTATGCACCCTCTCTGGATATTTATAGTCCCTTTCAGTGTTGTACTACAATTACACATGGGCCCATCTCATCTCCTTTTCTAGCAGAAAAGCTATGTGCACGAATGGAGAATGGTTCATCTTCATCTTGATATCTCTCTCCCCTCCCCAGTGGCAGTCCAAGGACCATGCATAACAAGGTGCTTGCTTACTAAAGGAGTCCCTGGGTGGTACAAACTGTTAACTTGCTTGGCTGCTAACCAAAAGGTTGGAGGGTTGAGCCCAGCCAGAGGCACCTCAGAAGAAAGGCCTGGCAATCTGTTTCTGAAAAATTTGCCCGAACACCCTATGAAGTACAGTTCTACTCTGACACACAGCGGGTCTCAGTTACGTGTTTCTTGAATGAACTAGTTGTTAAATTGTAGTCTTTGATTTCTACATATTTGTAATTTTAGTAAATTTTGCTCACATATTTTAAGTTGTACTAAATTGACTATAAAATTATTTATTAAATAATGGTGTGTTCCTCCATATTAACATAGCATCAGTTGGTCCAGCTATCAGAATGAGAAAATTTGGTAGTGTCTTCTCTAAGGATTGTTTTTGGTAACCTAAGGCAATAGGTTTCAAACTGGGATTTCTGGAGGTTCCTCAAGAGCTATAGAGGATGGTGAGGAGAAAGCCACCCAAGGCTTCCTCACCCCCTCATCGGCAGCTATATTGTAATCTTTTTTTTTTTTTTTTTAGCATATTGGATTCCACATGATTTTCTTTTTGGGAAAAAAAAAAGTGCTGCTTGAAAAAAAGTGGGCTTAAAGACACTAATTTATAATATAAAACTAGAGGATTCAAAGATTATATTTAACAGTAGTCCAGGTATCATAATTACCATGTTTATGTTATAATAAATAGGTTATTTAAGAATAAAAAATTAATAGTAACAGCTACTGTAAATAATATTGAATTTTTATATGTAGAGGCACTATGCTATGAGTACATACACATATAATGTTTAAGGTTAGTACAATAAATCTTTAAAAAAAGATTCATAACCAAAAACAAAATAATCTTTTAATAGATAATAGACCTCATAAGTTTTAATTCCGGGACTTAAATTTACAAGTTCAGAAAGGGTTACTTTCTTTGGTTTAACCGCAGAAATCAAAATGTCCAGCAGAGGGCACCCCTCCATCAATTGTTGCTCACAATGGAAATTTGGAGGCTAATGCACATGCTAATTTTCTTTCACCCCTTAAGAGCCAATCATGTCATAAAAATAGCACCAGTCTATGTGAATGTTCTATTGTTCAGTGGGCTCAGACAAAACAGAAGTCCAAGTATTCAGGGAGACCATACACATTTATTTGTTGTTAAATTCAACTCATGCTTGTATTATGAATAGGATGTATTTTGTAAAGACTTTACTAGCACTTCCCAGTGGGATAGATATGTTAATGGAACTGAGTCCTTGTGAAGTAGGGTGAGGAATTGTGTCTAGCGAGCCTGGTATTGCTAAGTGGACACAAGTCTGAAGATTCTGGGGTTGGCAGGAACTACTGTGAAGAGAGTTACAATGTACTCTCCTCCAACACGTTTCCTATGACCAGCCCTCCTTTCTAGGAGCGTCTCTGAGCTGTGTTGAAATGGGAGCCCAACGAACTCTGCAGTCTGATTCCCCCTACATACTCACTCTTCAGTCTCTACCATCACACCTAACCCACACACAGACTCCATGTTTGTTCTCACCCAAACTCAGATAAACAAAAGGGATTTGATGACTCTAGACCACCAGGGAATACAGTATCTAGTTATACCTCCTCCTGACCTAAGGATTCCTTATCTTACTTTTTGGTGACCAAGTTCCCTTCCAGGTAATCTGGCAGGTGCACAGGGGCATCTGCCTTGCTGTTGTTAGCCTCTCCCATTAAGCCCAATTTCCCATTAGACACTGGAGTATTCCCATAACCCCTCACCTGTGAAACTGCAGTCTAACCACTTCCAGGTAAGCTTCCCAATGTCAACTGCCGGGATTCACGAGAATTTTCTGACCCTAGATTCTCCATGATGCACCTGCCGGCTGTTAGACCCTTCTGATATTATCTTTCAACTAACTTCTTATGCCAGCCTCTAGTCTATTGTGTGTGACCATAGCCCTGGTGGGGCGGTGGTTAAGAGCTCAGGCTGCTAACCAAAAGGTTGGCAGTTCCAATCCACCAGCCACTCCTTGGAAACCTTATGGGACAGTTCTACTCTGTCCTATAGGGTCACTATGAGTTGGAATCAACTCGACGGCAATGGGTTTTTGGTTTTTTATACCCTTTAAGCCATACACTCTGCCCGCTTGGTTTTTCCTTCCTGCCTGTGATCAAATCTAGAATCACACCCCAGCTCCTTCAGGTGGTCCTGACTCTACAGAGTGAAGCTGGTTGAAAACAACAAGGCCTTTAACTTAGAAGACAACCTCAATCCCTTTGCTCTGGACAAAAGGATTCAACCACTGTGTATAGCCACCTAATTTCTTCTCTCTGGAACAGAAAAATGATAAGAGGTGAGCTTCAAGGCTTTAGAGTACTTATTCTTAACCTCGAACTAAGGAAAAGAAGTTCTATAAAGAATGTATCTGCAGGAAGGGTATGGATAGTCAAACACAAGTGAAGGTCAGTAAACAAACTCATCCCAAGATCAAGGCTGAGTGGAGACATGGAAGGCCCATTCACAGAAGGCCATGCAATGGGTTGAGGTTTCACATCTGCATAGGGGACTATGTGTTTTAGGGATGAGGTATAAAAATAAGCAATTATCTGCTTCTGTATCTTAGGTATAGTTGGTTTGGATATGTTTTTGTCCAACAGAAATACAATGTGAGCCACATATATAAGTTTAAACTCTCTAAAAGCCTCATTTAAAAAGTAAAAAAAAAAAAAAGTAGTAATATGTTTTACTTAATCCAATATATCCAAAATATTATCATTTGACATGTATAAATATAAAAATAAATTAATGGGATATTTCATGTTCTTTTTTTTCCTATTAAGTCTTCAAAATCCTGTGTGTGTGTCTTAGACTTACAGCATATCTCAATTCAAATGCTAAATTTTAAGCAGAAGTACTTGATATTTAGTTAGATTTCATAAAATTTACACCTCAGAAAGTTGATTCACACACCCAAGTTGTCCCAAACAACTTTAAAAGCTTTCCAATAACTGAATCAAGTATCAGTTTTTCAATGAAAATTTGCATGAATTAAAACAAAAACTTCAGTCCCTCAGTTTCATTAGGCATATCTCAAATACTCAACAGCAACTTCTACCTAGTGGCTTCCATATTGGAAGACAAACTACTAATCAGCTGGTAATTTGATGCGGATAAATTGAATAACTGAGACAATACAATGAAGTCAAAGGAGTTTGGCTGTGACACATTTAATCCCTTGTCAGATCTGGGCAGGACATCCAAGCGCGGGGAAAATCACTACCACTGGAAAATTGATAACTGGGTAAGTGCCCAGAGTCCCGCCCAATGACATCCCGTAAACAGCATACTCATTGCCATTCTGACCCACAGCGACCCTAGAGGACAGAGTAGAACTGCCCCAAAGGGCTTCCAAGGCTGTCATCTTTACGGAAGCAGACTGCCACATCTTTCTCCTGCGGAGCAGCTGGCAGGTTCGAACCACCAATCTTTCAGTTAACAGCTGAGCGCTTAACCACTTCACCACCAGAGCTCCTCAGTAAACAGCATATGCAGCCCTTATTCCAAAGGACACACGCTGAACTTGTGGTGAGGTTTAGGGAAACAGGTCAATAGACAGGTGTCCGTTTTTATATTTTTCTAACATTCACAGCCATGGTAAAAAATCCTCAACATTACAGGGAAGGGGCAAAAATCACATTCAGTCTCAACTACAGTAGAACTAAATACATAGTAAAGCTGTCAAGTAAACACTGTTTTGAAGGTTGTTTAAATTAAGACAATATTTAAAGTGTTAGAAGCTACTTAAAGAAGACACCGAGTAACAAGAAAACAATCGTTTGGTGGAAATGAAATCCTTACGACAGCAAAATGCAGAATTTCATCTTCATTCAGCTCATTTTTCAGTTTTCTGAATAAAGTTTGCATTGCTTTGCAAGGTCCGCACCAGGCTTGGTAAACGTCGATCACTAGAAGATGATAATATTTATGAAAAAACAGAGCAAAGAACCTAGAATAGCAGCTTATCCCAACGCTGGGGCAGGGGAGGACAAAGATGGGGCAGGGTTTCCGGCTCTATGGAAGGAACCTCACTCTGTCCTGGGACGCGATGGGGTGCCCTGGGCCCTGGATGGCAGGACACAGGGGAGTCCCATACCTGTTAAGCCTTTGTTCAGCAACATCTCATCCCACAGGCTTTGATTATTGATGACCATCTGCAAAAAGGAAGGCGCTGTAAAGGGTCTTCAAGTATCTGTGCAGCAAGTAAAGAATTGTTGATGTGTCATGCTCACCTGCAACTGGGCTTCTCCTCGCTTTTTGCTTGCCATTTATCTATCATATGAAAAAGGGGAGAAAAATAGAAAACATTTCAGAGCAAATTAAATAATATTCTTCCTTTTTCTTGCATTAAAACAGCATCTTAATATACTATAGGCATTTTCCTTCACAAGACCTTGGGTGACGCATGGTCACCTTCTCTGGAGAGAAGTAGCTAATGTCACTGCTGGGACCTATGCTGGATGTGCGGCTATCACACTCATTGTCCCAATAACCCTGAAGTAAGGTAGGAATGTTACCAGTTACTGGTGGTCTGTTTTTGTTTGTTTTAAATGGTTTTGTTTTCCTGAAGTTCTATGAAGTGTTCTCTATGTTTTAATTTGCTCACATTTAATTGTGAACATGCTCGTAGCTCTTTCTCCCGTCCCTCTAAAGATCTGCCCACTCCAAGGATATTTAATTTTTAAAACAAGGTTACTGGTGTGCTCTGGAAGACAACATAAATTTTTCCAAACTGTTGAGTCAGAGACGCCAAAACTTCCTTTTAATAATGTCAGGGACGGTGTACGTGCGTGTTTGTTTGTAAGTGTGTGATAGCAGACAGTGGTATAAAAGCAAAGGGATGACCACAGACAACAAGCGTTACACAAAACAGATCCTCCTCTAAGTTAGATGGGGACGTTTAAAGAACAGGAATGAACAACCCCCGAGCATCTAAACCCCCTTGATGAGCCTGTAGCCGTTTTAGGGGTGAGCTCTGGAAGTCCGAGTACCTGGGGTGCGCAGGACCCTGCGGTGCCTAGAATAGCTGGGTTCCTTCTGCGCTTTCTCCTGGCGCTGGTCCCGCTAATGGAAGAGGAAGAGGGACGAAGAGGAAGAGAATGCCGGATCAGTGCCTGGGGAAGAGCAAAGGCACCAACGTTTCCCACCCAACCCTCTGCCAGGCCCTCGAGCCCTGTCCCACCCCCACCCGTGGAAGAGCCTCAACGCTCCGCGCGCCCAGCCAGCCAGGTACACCTGGGAAGGGTTACAAAATCATTTGGCCCTAAAATCGTCCACTGTTTGTTTTTCTCGCTCCTTCTTCCCCTACACTGAAGGGATGCGAAGTCCTCCTTCCACCTCCTATCATCCTTCCACAGGACCCTCCTCTCCTTCAGTTGCCTCGTCCGAATCTTACTGACCCTGTCTTGGTTCCCTCATCAGCTCCTCTCCGCTTCTAGGGCGTGCTTTCTTAAGCGCACGTTTGACCATATCGCTGCTACGCTTTGAATTCTTTCTTGGCAGGTCATTTTTAAAAGATAAACGTATACTTCTTAAATTGGGGCGGAAGGCTCCCTGAGATCCGGCCCTATCCCGTCTGTCCATCTTCATCTCTTCCATCCACCCACTTCATACTCTGGGCCATAGTGTTTTGTTTTACTTTTTTGTTCAGAAATAATGTTACAAACTCTTAAAAAACATTTTACAAAAAATTTCCATATACCTTTATCCAGCTTCCCCCAATGTTTGGATCTTTCCCAATGGTAGTACAATGATCAAAATCAGGAAGCTAACATTACTACAGTACTCAACCACTGTACAGAATTTATACAAATCTTTTCAGTTTGCCCACTAATATCCTCTTTCTAGTCCCGGGTCCAATCCAGGATCCCACATTGCATTTAGTTGCCATGCCTCCTTCGTCTCCTCCAATCTGGGGCAGATTCCTCTGGACTGTCTTTGTCTTTCAAAACTTTGACTTATGTCTTTTTTTTTTTTAAATTTCACTGATTATGTTATTTATAGAATTTATATAAAAAAGCTTTTTTAAAAGTAATTTTTTTTTGCATACGCCTCTGCTCTTGCTTTATAAGCCTGTCTTTTACTTTACTTTAACATCTCTTTCAGCTTGCTGTATTTTTCCCAATTCTTGGGATACAAATCCTTCCATGTATTGGATCTGCTGAGTCTCCATCATGGTGATTCTTTTCCTTTTGATGTTTGTGACTTTTGACTGTGAGCTCATCTTCAGCAGGGATGATTCTCGTGTGAGCCCCCGTGACAGAACAGTGGAAGCACACCTGCATGGGGATGTCCTGTGGGCTTTTGCCTGGTCCCATCATTGGGATCTAGAAGACCAGATCAGTTTTAAGTTAATTTCTCAGCTTAGGTTTCTTATTTCACATGGACAGTTGAAAATCCAAACCCATATCTATGGATGGCACAATCCTGGGACCTGAATTTCTCACCAGTGACTTTTTATCCACATAGAATCCCATATGGATGGCAAACATCCTTGCTACTACCTCAGGGCCGATGGTATGGTACACAGAGACTTACAGTAAGCAAGGTAGACATGTGCTTAATTGTGTTTACTTACTAATTTGTAGTGCGCAATTTCACCTGTTTTTCACCACGTCAAAGATGTAATGAAATCCATGTGAAAATGGCCACTACAGATTAGTAAGTAAACACAATTAAGCCCATGCCTACCTTGCTTATTAGGTAATCCGTCCCTGTATCCTAACACTAAGCCAGTTGGGCAGGCAGGGGCAGCCTGACTTTATTTCCAGATGTATAAAGGTAGTTTCAATTAACTGCGAATGTGGAAGTTGAATCCTGTACTCTGTCAACCCCATAGTATGTGGCCCTATGAGGGTGTGGATATTAGAAGCCTAGCCCCACCTATTAAGATTTACTCTCCATCCTAATACTGCAGTGAATTATTTTTGTTTCAGTTATACTTACCCCTTGGACTTTGATTTCTTGCTTTGTTTCTCTTGTGTAGGTATTTTCTTCTCTTAGTTTTGAGCTAAATTTAAAACTTTTGAAATAAAAAAATTTAAGATATTTTATTCAGTATCTCTACATTGTTTTGCGCTAGAGTGGGCATCTTCTGCAATAGCTCGGTCACCCATGTTGGCCAGAAGTCAACCTGCTGACTTTTCATTTCAGCCATGCCTCCCCTGTGACTTTATGCTTGTTATTTTGCTTAAAAGTCAAACTTTCTTTATTGGTTTCCTGGAGCAGATAATTTTCTTGATGCTCTTCTTCTGGGTCTTCATTAGTCACTACCTTTCCAATTGTCTAACTTATTCCCCCGCCCCCCACCCCATTGCTCCAATGATCCTGTTCGTTCTCTTCACCTTTCTTCAGAGAAATACCTGTTCTGTTTTGATAGAGGGGGGAGTGGCTGGGTTAGTTTTAGGATTGTTTTGTGTCCACTTTTATTGGGATAGAATTCCCTAGTAATATGTATAGCTGGAGTACAGGTACAATTTCTAATCTAATTCCCTGCTTTTAGCAAGCTTCACATGGGCCCCTCTGAGGTGGCATCTTTTTTACAGCCTCTTTGATTATATCTCTGATTCACTGGAGAAAGTAAATCACAAACAATAAAACTTCCAGTATTCCCTGCTAGCGCTTATCCATATTCTGAGCAGCCTGGGAACACATCTCCCAGAAAGCACTGCACCATGAGTAGTTTGCCTTTCCAATATGCATAGATGTTTCTTAATATTAGCCTAACTGTTCCAGTTATCCAATGTCTGGAGCTTGTTTTGTAAGCTTTAGTGTTTTTAATCCAGTTTTGTTCATTGGCTTCCCCAGAAAGCCATCTGGTAAACCTTTAGGGAACCTAAGTTTCCCTTTGAGCTCGTACTGACAACACAGGTACCACAAATTTTTCCCTTTAGGAAACTCTTTCTCTATGCCAAGTAGTGGACTGAACCAAAGAACAACCAAGGATCAATTTACTGACAACCTGACCCTGGTGAAATAACAGTTATTGGAAACCTAACACTCCTTTTAAAAACAACAGATGATGACATGAAGGGATAATAATAAACACCCTGCTTTGATGGGTTAAGATCCTATTTAGAAATCATTCTGTAGGTAATCCTGTTTGTCTATTTGGTCCACTCTGAAGATGAAGATCTTGTCTACAAATGTCCATTGTGTCCCTTTACTCTGTGGTTGCTTCTTGTATCCCAGCCCATTTGCAGCAGCTGGAATTTTTTTCTTTTTTTAAGAAATTATTTCTTGTTAACTGAAAAAGATGTTACTGTACAGACACCTACAGGAAGAGCTTGGCAGGGGCCACAGATGTCCATGCAAAAATTTCTTACAAATTCTTTACATTATGCTTTTAATATTTAAGAGAAAACATTGTTAATACAAAAAGAGGTATCAGTACTCTCTAATGAGAACATTTACCAATTGACCAAGAGATGCAAGGCAATAGATGAAATGAGATTTCTAGACATTCCCACTAATTGCAAAAAGCTTGAATTTTAAGATTTTGAAATATAAACCTGATGAGTATTTGATTTGAATCTACTCAGAATTGACTTTAAGGACAAATGGGTTCTGAAAATGTTGGTTCTAAGAAAATGTATTGATACATTCCATAGGAGAGTATAAGTCATGAAAAGTCAAATAGCCTATGAAAGATGTTACCCCTGAACAGTAGTTTGTTTTGTTCCTTGCATATATTTGAAAATGTCTTTAAAATCCAGTAAAAGACTTGCCTTCTACACTAATCTGACTCTGTTTTTACCTTCATACAACACTGTCTATGGTGCTCAATTTTTTTCTTGGGTCATAGGTGTATTAACACTTAACTGTTTCGGGGCATGGCCAAGACGTTTCCTATATCCCTCTTACAACAAAGACCTAGAAAAACAAGTGATTTGATTCTATATGAATATCTAGGAGCCCTGAACAAGGCAAAGTTGAGGAATCAGACTGAGTGATGGGGGGAGAAGGAGACAGTTTGGAAGCAGTGAAGAGCACCAGAGCCATGGCAGTGAAACCACAGCTCTGCAGCCACGCTGGTCCGCAGTGAAACAGGCAAACAACTGTGCTGTGCGCATGCTCGGGAAGCAGTTTCCACATCAAGAGAGACCCGGCAGCAGAGATTCTGCTTGGACACTCTGAACCAGTGAAAAGCAGCTTTCAAGTGGCTAAGATAAGTACATGCATGCGGCCTTTTGCAAGGATTAAAAAAAAAAAGGCCTATTTGGGAAAAACCTCTCTCCTTTTTACCTCCTCCTTCCGTGCTCTGCACCAGGAGTCCAGTGGACCGGAAGTAGATCCCAAACAGCACCCTGACACATTCTCCTGGCCTTGGAGAGGGAACAGGTTAGCTACTGGTTCCACTAAGCCAGGAACACAGGGTCAGCACAGCTCCTTTGCTAGGCACAGGTATAAGGGAACCCATCTCAACAGTGTTGGCCCTCACTACCACAGTACAACAGGGCAAACATCTGAAGTTTAACTTCAACTGTTTCAGCTGTGAAGTGACAGATTTGTGACCCTCGTAACAGCCCTGCCCCTTAAGTAGGCACATTTATCGATCTGCAACAGGGGCTTGAGGACTGATGGTATCACCTAAACCTCCTAGTCACCTGCTACAGGAGTCCAAGAAAAAGTGGTGCCCCCGAGCCTTTACAGCCAACAGAGTGGGGTGCTCATTGTCCAGCTGCAAAACTCACCTACCTACTCACCCTAGAGAATAGGGACACGCTTTCCTTTCAGACTTTCAGGGGCAGCTGTCAGCCCCCTGCCTGGCTCAGCGCGTGATCCCCTACCACAGCCAGAGTCCAATGCCTGCACCAATCACCCATGCCTCTCTAGGACTGTGAGTGAGAGCCTGCATCACACACTTGGTGACTGACTGCCTGGACACCTGAGCTGAACCCATATAGGAAAATTTAACGGACTCTTGTGTGCACATACTTAGTTACAGAACTAACTACCTGGTGACAGGACTTCAGAGATTCAAAGGTGTCAATAATCAAACTAGCGCACACGAGCAGCCTATTTGGGCATATCAAAACCAAACCAAACAAGAAGCTAGGTCTCACTAAACAAATATAAAATAAAATTATAATAACTTATTAATG